CGTGCGCGTGCAGTAGGCATTAACCAGTACTGCTCGAACTGCCTCGCACACGAGCACGCGGGCAGCGTCTGTCGCAGTGGTGCCCGGTGCAAGATCTGTGGGGCCGCGCACCACACTTTGCTGCACGTTGGCTCGTCGCCGCGCCAACCTCCGAGCCGCAGCACAGCACCTCCTCCAGCGTCACCATACACCAGCTCGCCGTCGCCTCCACGTGCTTTGGCTTACTCCAGCTCGCCGTCGCCTCCCCGCGCTTTGGCTTACCCCAGCTCGCCGTCGCCTCCACGTGCTTTGGCTTACTCCAGCTCGCCGTCGCCTCCACGCGCTTTGGCTCATCCCCGCACGCCATCACTGGATCGCGTCCCGCGTCGCGTTCAAGCGCAGGTCCCGCGCCCAACCTTATGGGGCACCAGTGTCCTGCCCACCGCCACGGTTTTTATGACGAGCAGGAGTAAGCGATGGGAGGTGAAGGTTTTGCTCAACGCCTGCTCCCCGACCAGCACCATCTGACGGCACTCGGCTGGACGTCATTCTCGTCGGACGGGACCGAGGTGTGCCGTGCCGAAATCGAATCCAGGGCATCCAGCTGGCGTCATGACGTAGCGCTAGCAGTCGTGACGGACCTTGCACATCGAACCCCCCAGCGGCGCATCACAGAGCCAGTGGATGGCCATTACGGCAATGTGCGCCTGGCGGACGAGCGCTGGCACACCCCAAGCACGGTATCCATCGTGCTCGGGGCAGAGATCTACCAAGAGATCCTCTTGCCGGGCGTTCTGCCGGCAAGCCACGGAGTCCCCGCAACCAGCTGGGCTGGGTCCTCGCTGGCGCGCTACCCTAGGAGGCACTAATTTGCATCCTGCAGGGGGGGAGGATGTTGACGTGGCAGCACTGCTAGTAGCCTGCATGGCAGGCTGGCAACGTTTGCTAGCAACATTCGCTAGCAACATCTGCTAGCACAGCGCGGCTGACGTCAGCGCCCTCTCTCTCCCACACGCTAGTTAAGGACCAGAGCGCTGTAACTAGGTTAAGTTAGTTACAAATTGTCTTTATACGAAGTGAATACATACGTGCAGAAGAGCACTTTGACACCTGAAAATCCCGCCATTTTGTTCTTGTACTGGAGTTTGGATATTTTATCCCCGACGCCCCCCGACTTTTACACCCTGTGTTACACAAATTACCTCGAGCATTGCTAACTCCAATTTAAACATGACCCTAAGAAGTTCTACAACTTCGTAAATTCTAAACAGAAATCTTCGACTTTGCCATCGTCATTTTTTCTTGCGAATGACAATTCTGTTAATGATTCCGTAAGTGCTGAATTATTTGCAAAGTTTTTCCAGTATTTTTTAAAAATCGGTCAACAACGACTAATCTGCTAGAATTTACATCTGTCATAAATGATGCATTCCTAGCAAAGATGCAAGCTGATGTTATATATACTGACTTCAGCAAAGCATTTGGTTCTGTGAATCATGACCTTCTCCTCTTAAAGCTATCTCGTATGGGATTTCCGTCAAACTCTTTGAATTGGATTTCCTCATACTTAAAAAATAGGACACAGAAGGTACTACTCAGGTCGAATATTTCTAAACCTGTTATCGTAACTTCGGGCATACCTCAAGGTAGTCATCTCGACCCCCTATTATTCACTCTATTTATTAATGATCTTCCGTCTATCCTGCTGCATTCCAGTATACTAATGTATGCCGATGATGTAAAGCTTATTTTTTCGTATAAAGATCCTCTTTATAAGTCTTGTCTGCAGTATGATCTAAACTGTTTTCAACGGTGGTGCTTGGTCAACTACCTGCACCTTAACTGTTCTAAATGCAAGTTTATGACTTTTTACCGGTCCAGACCACATCTAGGTACTTATGCTATTGACAATATACCATTGCAACGTATATCTACAGTTGAAGATCTTGGAGTTCTTTTTGATTCCAAATTGAATTTCAATCTTCACATCTCCACTATCGTTAACAATGCTAACGCGTTGCATAGCGGGCAGCCGCGCGTCATTACGAGTAGTCGTAAGAATGAGTATTTTGTAAAGACTAAGAAGCCATGAAGGCAAGTAATTTTAAGTTGAGTTAGTTAGTTCTTTTTTGGCTCATGCCCAACGCGCACTGAAGCGCTCTGTATGATATTGGAAATAAAACAACGTAAAAGAAAGACACGTGGTGAAAATTCTTGGCATACCGCCCTTTTATTTTGCACATATTTGGTGGACACCTCGGCACTTTGGGGTGCCTAATTTATTTCAGCATACTCTGGCCGGCGAGCATACCCGCGGCAGAGTAACAACGTTACAAGTGGCGCCCGAGCAGGGACCCCAAAGAAGTTTGAGGTTAGATCCGACCAAGTAGTCCATTGCTGAGCCGGAAATAACGCAGAGTGCGCCATCCATTATTAATCGGTGGCAGCGCCTTAAAGCGCTCAACCAGCAGCTGTGCCTCCGATGGAAGGAGGAGTACTTGAAGGAATTGCAGAAGCGCCACAAATGGCAGCAGCCACAGGAGGACCTCAAACCGGGCGCCATGGTCATTGTCAAGGAGGACAATATCCCTGCAAATGAATGGCGCCTTGGTAGGATTCAAGCGGCGCACCAAGGTCCGGATGGCAAGGTCCGAGTGGTCGACGTCCGAACTGCGCGCGGCGTCATCCAACGACCCGTCGCCAAACTCGTCCTACTCCCTATGCTCTCCTAAATCCCACTAACACACTGCTTGCCACTTTCCTTCCCGTTTCTGACAAAGCACTCACAAGTTCTTTATTTCCATAGGATCTCAACATGCCCTCTCATCGCCTAGTACGTTCCTCTGCCACTCGTCAGCCAAGGGGGCTACCTACCTACCTACCGGTGCAGGATGTGTCGTGGTGTGCACGCCCTAAAGAAGTGCCCGCGGTTCCTGAACCTGCCTCCCGTCAAACGTGCGCGTGCAGTAGGCATTAACCAGTACTGCTCGAACTGCCTCGCACACGAGCACGCGGGCAGCGTCTGTCGCAGTGGTGCCCGGTGCAAGATCTGTGGGGCCGCGCACCACACTTTGCTGCACGTTGGCTCGTCGCCGCGCCAACCTCCGAGCCGCAGCACAGCACCTCCTCCAGCGTCACCATACACCAGCTCGCCGTCGCCTCCACGTGCTTTGGCTTACTCCAGCTCGCCGTCGCCTCCCCGCGCTTTGGCTTACCCCAGCTCGCCGTCGCCTCCACGTGCTTTGGCTTACTCCAGCTCGCCGTCGCCTCCACGCGCTTTGGCTCATCCCCGCACGCCATCACTGGATCGCGTCCCGCGTCGCGTTCAAGCGCAGGTCCCGCGCCCAACCTTATGGGGCACCAGTGTCCTGCCCACCGCCACGGTTTTTATGACGAGCAGGAGTAAGCGATGGGAGGTGAAGGTTTTGCTCAACGCCTGCTCCCCGACCAGCACCATCTGACGGCACTCGGCTGGACGTCATTCTCGTCGGACGGGACCGAGGTGTGCCGTGCCGAAATCGAATCCAGGGCATCCAGCTGGCGTCATGACGTAGCGCTAGCAGTCGTGACGGACCTTGCACATCGAACCCCCCAGCGGCGCATCACAGAGCCAGTGGATGGCCATTACGGCAATGTGCGCCTGGCGGACGAGCGCTGGCACACCCCAAGCACGGTATCCATCGTGCTCGGGGCAGAGATCTACCAAGAGATCCTCTTGCCGGGCGTTCTGCCGGCAAGCCACGGAGTCCCCGCACCCAGCTGGGCTGGGTCCTCGCTGGCGCGCTACCCTAGGAGGCACTAATTTGCATCCTGCAGGGGGGGAGGATGTTGACGTGGCAGCACTGCTAGTAGCCTGCATGGCAGGCTGGCAACGTTTGCTAGCAACATTCGCTAGCAACATCTGCTAGCACAGCGCGGCTGACGTCAGCGCCCTCTCTCTCCCACACGCTAGTTAAGGACCAGAGCGCTGTAACTAGGTTAAGTTAGTTACAAATTGTCTTTATACGAAGTGAATACATACGTGCAGAAGAGCACTTTGACACCTGAAAATCCCGCCATTTTGTTCTTGTACTGGAGTTTGGATATTTTATCCCCGACGCCCCCCGACTTTTACACCCTGTGTTACACAAATTATCTCGAGCATTGCTAACTCCAATTTAAACATGACCCTAAGAAGTTCTACAACTTCGTAAATTCTAAACAGAAATCTTCGACTTTGCCATCGTCATTTTTTCTTGCGAATGACAATTCTGTTAATGATTCCGTAAGTGCTGAATTATTTGCAAAGTTTTTCCAGTATTTTTTAAAAATCGGTCAACAACGACTAATCTGCTAGAATTTACATCTGTCATAAATGATGCATTCCTAGCAAAGATGCAAGCTGATGTTATATATACTGACTTCAGCAAAGCATTTGGTTCTGTGAATCATGACCTTCTCCTCTTAAAGCTATCTCGTATGGGATTTCCGTCAAACTCTTTGAATTGGATTTCCTCATACTTAAAAAATAGGACACAGAAGGTACTACTCAGGTCGAATATTTCTAAACCTGTTATCGTAACTTCGGGCATACCTCAAGGTAGTCATCTCGACCCCCTATTATTCACTCTATTTATTAATGATCTTCCGTCTATCCTGCTGCATTCCAGTATACTAATGTATGCCGATGATGTAAAGCTTATTTTTTCGTATAAAGATCCTCTTTATAAGTCTTGTCTGCAGTATGATCTAAACTGTTTTCAACGGTGGTGCTTGGTCAACTACCTGCACCTTAACTGTTCTAAATGCAAGTTTATGACTTTTTACCGGTCCAGACCACATCTAGGTACTTATGCTATTGACAATATACCATTGCAACGTATATCTACAGTTGAAGATCTTGGAGTTCTTTTTGATTCCAAATTGAATTTCAATCTTCACATCTCCACTATCGTTAACAATGCTAACGCGTTGCATAGCGGGCAGCCGCGCGTCATTACGAGTAGTCGTAAGAATGAGTATTTTGTAAAGACTAAGAAGCCATGAAGGCAAGTAATTTTAAGTTGAGTTAGTTAGTTCTTTTTTGGCTCATGCCCAACGCGCACTGAAGCGCTCTGTATGATATTGGAAATAAAACAACGTAAAAGAAAGACACGTGGTGAAAATTCTTGGCATACCGCCCTTTTATTTTGCACATATTTGGTGGACACCTCGGCACTTTGGGGTGCCTAATTTATTTCAGCATACTCTGGCCGGCGAGCATACCCGCGGCAGAGTAACAACGTTACAAGTGGCGCCCGAGCAGGGACCCCAAAGAAGTTTGAGGTTAGATCCGACCAAGTAGGGAAGAGAGCGTGGACCTACGATGCTACGAACGAGCTGGATACGTGTGCTGCGGAAGGAAGAGCTCAGCACGGTGCTGCGCGAGTTCGACATCGAGGAGACCGGCACCGTGGAGGCGTTGCGGGTGCGGCTGGCAACTTTCGTGAAGTCGGCCCAAGAAGAGTACCGACCCCGCCTGGAAGAACTAGCGGCATATTACGAGAACATGTCGTCGCGTACCGCGGCGACAGGTCAGTTGAGCCCGGTGCCCGGCGGACGGCTGGGAGTCCCGAAACAAGAGGACGTACCGGAGGGGCTGCTCGTCGTGACAGAGGCAAACACGACACCGCTAACTCCTGCGACAGTGCCGACCATTTCGGTAGCGGTCGCGGCCTCGCCGGGAGCTACCACAACCGAGCCCACGGCAGCCTCAGCGACGCCAACAGTGGCTCCAGTGCTCTCAACGGCGGATCTGACACAAGCGATTGCCGATTCGGTGACTGTTGCGTTGGCTCAGTACACCCACCGGTTGGCCCAGGCTATGGAGGATGGTTTCCAGAAACTGTCGAGCCAGGTCTGCGCTTCCACCGCGCCTGCTGGTAATGCGCCTGACGAAGATGACCCAACAGCACCGACTCCAGCGTCATCGCTCGCAAGCGCGCAGGCGGTGGCAGAACCACAGGCGCCAACATCAGCCGAACGAGACAGACGAGCCGCACTGTCGACACAGGTAGCCCAGTGGGGCGTCCGATTCGACGGCAGCGGGGACCCAAGAACGTTCCTCCGGGATCTGGAAGATAAGGCACAGATGAGGAACGTGCGATTAGATGAGTTGCTGACCGTGTTACCGGAAGTCCTGGTTGGCGAGGCGAAGGAGTGGGAGTGGTCAAGGCGCAATTTGGTATAACGGTGGGCAGAGTTCCGCCAAGACCTACTAAAAGAATATCCAGCGGGTCCCCACATAGAAGAGCGCCGGCGGGAAGCATACAGCCGGGTCCAGGGCGCATCAGAGGGCCCTGTCGAGTATGTCCGAGCGATGCAACGACTGATGCGCGGCGCGGGGATGACTGCAGAGGAGCAGCTGAGACTTGTCCACGCCAACGGGCTACCAGAAATACGCGCCAATCTCCGCCTGGCAGGCGAAGAAGTAAGCTCACTCGATGGGTACGTACAGGCGGCACAGGGCGTGCACCAAGCAATCTTAGCACGGTCACAGGCGGCCGGCAATGATGAGACGAACGCCACACACCCTACGCCGATCCCACGGCCGGTGGCGGTTGGCCCAGCGGACACGCATCGTCGCCCACCCATCTGCAGACGTTGCGGGATGGGAGGGCACAGTATGGACGCGTGCCCAAACTCTCAACAGCTCTACTGTTGGGACTGTGGTAAGATGGGGGTGCGTGCGAACGAATGCTGCCGACGCGCGACGGGAAACGCCAGGGGGGCTCATCCCACATCAACAGTCGGCGAGCCCACGCAGGCAAATTCCAATTAACAACGACACGCAGGGTAGCGGCCGCGCTACCAGTAGACTATGTTGGTGTACTGGTAGAGGCGGTCGTGGACACCGGAGCGACACGCAGCTTCGCGAGTCCGAGAAAATGTACGGTCCGTGAGCGTGACTGTGTCCATGGCTGACGGGACACAGAAGACGGTCCGTGAAGAAACGAAGGCGACAGTCGCGCAGTACTGCCGCTGCTCACACTCCCCGGATGCATAGATGAGCTCACATTGGGACTGGATTATGTCCAAATGGCCAACGGGGCGGTGACTGTGGGCGGCCAAACTGTAGAACTGCGAACGAACGATCCACGGCCACGCAGACGGCGGAGGCGAAATCGCAGAGCCCGACATGCAGCCTTGGTGACAAGCGAACAGGCGGGGCTCACTATAGCCGCCCACCTAACGGAGCAGCAGACCCAGACGGCCGCCAGGTTCATCGAGGGGGAACTGGCAAGCTTTGAGAGCATCACAGGAGTCTCGTCGGCGGCGGTGCACAAAATCCGGATGAAAGACGAGCGTCCCATCAAACAGCGGTACTAGCCCCGGAATCCGGCCATGCAGGCAGTGATCAATGAAGAAGTCGACGAATTGCTGGCAAAGGGCTGCATCGAGCAATCCGACAGTGCCTACAGCACACCCATCGTGTTGGTGCGCAAGAAGACAGGCGCCTGGAGGATGTGCATCGACTACCGACAGCTGAACGAACGCTCAGAACCAGATGCGTACCCAATTCCGCGGATCCAGCACATTTTGGAGCAGCTGCGCCAGGCCAAATACATAAGTAGCATCGATTTGCGGAATGGGTACTGGCAGATTCCGATGGAGCGCGAAAGCCAGCGATATACAGCGTTCACGGTGCCAGGACGCGGGCTGTTCCAGTGGCGTGTGATGCCGTTCGGCCTGCATTCTTCGCCCGCAACATTCCAGAGGGCGTTGGACAGCGTCATCGGCCCGGACATGGCACCGCATGCGTTTGCATACCTCGACGACATAGTGGTGGTCGGCAGGACGTTCGAGGAACACTTGAGCAACTTGCGCGAGGTGTTCCGGCGACTGCGGGCGGCCAATCTGCGAATAAATCGAGATAAGTGCGAATTCTTTCGTAAATCCATTAGGTACCTGGGGCATCTAGTGACGGAGGCGGGCATCCAAACGGATCCGGAGAAGGTAGCAGCTATCCACGAGCTGAAGCCGCCATCAAATCTGAAACAATTGCGGCAGTACATTGGAATGGCCTCGTGGTATCGACGCTTCGTACCACAACGGTTGGGGCCCTTACCAAACTGTTGAAGAAGGGCCACAAGTGGAGTTGGGGAAAACAGCAGCAGGAGGCATTCCAGTGTATCCAGAAGCAGCTGATGGAAGCTCCGGTGTTGCCGTGCCCCGATTTCTCTCGACGTTTCTGCCTACAGACGGACGCCAGCGAGTGTGGGCTGGGCGCGGTTCTGACGCAAGACATAGACGGCCACGAACACGTAATTTCCTAGTGCCTCGCAATTGTTTGGGGAATCCGAAAACTGCGACACTATTTGGAAGGCTACCATTTCACTGTCGTGACCGATCACTTGGCGTTGCGTTGGCTCAACTCGATTGAGAGCCCCACCGGCCGCATCGCACGCTGGGCTTTGGAGCTGCAGCAGTACACCTTCGATGTCCAGTACCGAAAAGGAGCCCTGAATGTGGTGGCCGACGCACTGTCACGACAACCACGCGAGGTGATCGGCCGTGCGCACGTGGAGTCAGAGGCAGCACCAACTTGTAAATGGTTACAGCGGCTAACGACAGCGGTGTTGGAGAGTCCCAGCAAGTACCCAGATTACGCCATACAGAACGGCAGGCTGTACCGCCGCATCGCCCACGTGCTAGGAGAAGATCAGGTGTCTCCATGCGTCTCTATGCGTGGCCGCGCCTCTACGACAGGAGGTGCTGAGGGAATGCCACGACGACGCAACGGCGGGCCATATGGGAGTATGCCGAACCTGTGCACGCATTCCAGACCGATACCACTGGCCTGGTCTGTATCGCGACGTAGCGAAGTATGTGCACCAGTGCCTGTTGTGCCAACGTTATAAAGCCCAGCAACAGCTGACGGCAGGCAAGATGCACTTCAAACCAGCGGAGGCAGCGTGGGACGTCGTCTGCGCCGATTTTGTGGGGCCGCTGCCGCGGTCCAAACGAGGCAACGCGTATCTACTGGTCCTGGTCGATAAGTTCAGTAAATGGGCAGAACTGGTCCCCATCCGCAAGGCGACGGCAGCGGCAGTGAAGCTGGCCTTGCGAGAGCGGATTCTGGCTCGGTTTGGCACACCAAGAAAGCTCATTACAGGCAATGGAGCCCAGTTTACGAGCCGCGCGCTGAAGCAGTTCCTCGCCGAGGCAGGCATACAGCAACAACTGACGGCACCATACACACCGCAGGAGAATCCCACGGAGCGGACCAATAGAACGGTCAAAACACTGATCGCTCAGCTGGCGGATGGGCAGCACAACACGTGGGACGAACAACTGCCGGAAGCACAATTGGCCATTAATACAGCGATTTCAGACGCAACGGGCTACCCACCGGCTTTCATCCTATTTGGGAGAGAACCACGGCATCCACACACACTGTACGGCAGGGATCCTGATGCCCCTGAGGCAGCACCAGGTAGCCCAGAAACACACGCAACGCTGCTACAGTTTGTTGCCCGTATAGCAAGAAGAAACCAAGGGGTGGCCAGCGAGGATCAGGCACGCCAGTACAATCTGCGGAGACGCGAGTGGCGACCCAAACTGGGCGACGAGGTGCTCGTGCGACAGCATCACCTGTCCAACGCAGCCGAGCAGTTTGCGGCCAAGCTGGCGCCTCGCTTCGATGGACCATTCACGGTGCGAGCATTTATATCCCCAGTCATAGTGCGTGTGCAACCAGTGGCGGGCGGCAGAGGTAGAACGGAACATGTGCGGGATCTAAAAGCGGTGAATGCGGTGAAGACAGCGAAGCCGACGAAGGCAGCGACGACAGAGGCAGCGTTAGTATGGTCACCAGGGCCACGCCACCGACAGCTTCACAGCAGCCACAGCAGTCCATTGCTCAGCGACCACAACAGCAGCCGCAACACCAATCTCCGCAGCCACAGCGGCAGTCCGGGCAACTAAATCGGCCATGTCAACGAACACGACGACAGCAGCCGCGGTCGCAACAGCCGCACGACAGCAGTTACAGCAGCCAGGGCCCTATTGGCCACACCGATAGCAACAACAGCAATGCAACTGGCGTCCACTCAAGCGGGAGCGGCAAAGTGGCCGTTCTGGCCGAAGAGGACACCCATGTAAGCCGAAGACATAATTAGACAAAACTTGTTGTTACGTTTCAGGCCTGATGAAGCGACATACACACACCACACCAGTCGAGATACCCAAACCGCGCAAAATATGCCAGGGGCACCGCGGATGGACAAGGACCGGGCGGGCAGCTGGACAAACACGACGAAAAGGAGGTTAGGCACAACGCAGAAAATAGCCCAGGACCGGAAGCCAAGCACAACATAAACATGTGGGCGGTGATGTCGAGTTGCCAGAGCGACAGGTGGCCGTCGATAACGAGTTATCGTGGAGATGCGATAAGTGGCAGCACCGGCCACTATCGCTGCGAGTGGTAACACCGACTATAGACCGCCGGGCATGGGTAGCACTGGCAAACCGCGGGGGCCGTCGAGTGAGAGTGCGACGCCAACGGATACAGCAGGCGCGGCTGGAGGAGCAGCAGCGAGAGCAACGCCAATGGGCACAACAGGCGCGGCTGGAGGAGCAGCAGCGCGATGAGAGGCTGCGGCGTCGGGAGCAGCGAACACGCGAGCGGCGCGAGGAGCAGCAGCGGGTGGAAGGGGCCATACGAGACGTGGAGGCGCGTCTGACATACGCCAGATGGGGCAGAGAGCCCGATGGCACAGCGAGCGAGCAGCCGATGGTAGTGCTGGAGAGGTGCGGCGGCTCCACAAAGCCCCTTGCTTGGGCGATGTGTTTGAAGGAAGGCTTCCGATGGTGGCGTTGGCAGCCACCCCCCTCGACCGGATCGTGTTCCGCTCAGGAAGGAGGAACGTGTAATGACGCGTTGCATGGCGGGCAGCCGCGCGTCATTACGAGTAGTCGTAAGAACGAGTAGAGACTAAGAAGCCATGAAGGCAAGTAATTTTAAGTTGAGTTAGTTAGTTCTTTTTTGGCTCATGCCCAACGCGCACTGAAGCGCTCTGTATGATATTGGAAATAAAACAACGTAAAAGAAAGACACGTGGTGAAAATTATTGGCATACCGCCCTTTTATTTTGCACATATTTGGTGGACACCTCGGCACTTTGGGGTGCCTAATTTATTTCAGCATACTCTGGCCGGCGAGCATACCCGCGGCAGAGTAACAACTTTACAATGCACTAGTGTTTACGCCGTGCACAACCCTTTTCGAGTATTATGCTCTAATTATAATTCTTTTCACTTTTTAATCTCAAGTGAGCTCTCTCTCCCCTCACTAAAAGCTTCTATTAGATTCGCTATTAGATATTTGTGTCATTTGTATAGGCTTTTTATTCCAATAGCTATATTTTAGTTTAAGTTCTCTTTTGTATTGATTTTTTGTTTTCTTTTTCTTTTACATCGACTGCATTGTTTGTCGATAAAATAAATAAAGGTAATTTAACCTATTGGCAATTTAATATTTTTTCTGCGGCGTAAACAAAAAAATATAAGAAACCGGATCATCAGGAAAACATGTATCGTTAAAACCTAATTCGGCGGTTTTTCCATTAGCACTGTCCACTTTAGAAGGCGTTTAAATTAACCCAGAAAATAATTATTTTTCGACTGGCCATAAGCACAGGGTCCGCCGGCGTATACATCCGCGCATCAACTGCTGGGCTTAGAGTTCTCGGGTCCGCCAGTGAGTACGAAAATAGTTCGTTTTTTCGGACAAAAATTTAACAGCGGCTTAATAAATAGCTCCAGACGTTGTAGAATGAATCGTATATAGGTATATGCATAGTGCCGAATCTAAATGTGAGCGAACAGAAAAACGGCAACTAAGTAATAGGCACAAAAAAAACAAGACTGAAATTAAAATATTTACCCTGTTCGGCATCAACTTAAGAGCAATTCTTTTGCCAACGCAAATGGCATCCAAGCAAAAAAAAAAAAGATAATAGGCAGTAGCTCTAGCTTGCACTTAACGCAGGCGTTCACTTTTATACCAAAATTTGTTTTTTTTTTAACAAAAGTTGTTCTTTTCTTTTAAATTTCTTGCACGGGAGCAATTATTTCTTATCCAAATTAAAATTTTAATGCAATCACATTTCTTTTTACTATGAGAAAAAGCGCGCCTGTTCCGTTCGGCGGTTCAAAGGAAAAAGAAAGTGGCTAGTTCTAACCTAGGCTCATTAGCCCTTCCACGGAAGTGGTTGAGGTGGCAGTTGTCAAAAGAAAAGTGCAAGGAGAACACTGACATTGACAATTCAGCCAAAAGAAAGGAAAAGAGAAATGAACCTTGCCACGACCATAGATGGCGCTCGTATGCAACTAATCTACTACTAAGAGAAACCATAGATTCTACTACTAAATGTAAAACCGAATCTTCTACTAAATATAAAGGCAAAAAAAAAAAATTTTACTACAAAACAAAAATAAATAAAAGCAAAGTTTCTAATATTTGCGACAAGCAAATTCCCTGGCCAAAATCACACTTGGGGAATGCAATTCCACAACGGGTGATCCACGCTTGTCGAAACATCACTTGCTTGGACCAAACTATTGCTTAATATCTTTATCATGATATTTCCCAACCAAATTTCCTTATAGGTCCTCTAGCTAGTAATAACTATTTCCAAATTTCCGTTTTATTCTAGCTTTTACAAATGTAGGCGCTAGTTTGGCATTAAATCCTTTACTAAAATTGCTTTGCTGGAAATTCCTACGGTACACTTCCTGACCTACAACAAAAGAAACTTCTAACAATTCGAGCTCGCGCAACAGTTTATATGAATTCCCTTCGGTAATCATGTGCTGTCCAAAAACCAATCTATAGGGAGTATTGTTCACGGCGGAATGCCAACTTGCCCGCAGTGCGCAACAAATGCTACTTAACTTTTCGTCCCAGTTTGACTGATCAGGATGAATATAATCTTTAATTGCCGTCAAAACTGAGCGATTTACACTTTCTGAAGCATTCGCTTGCGGAGCGTATAACTCTGTATATGCGTGATGTACACCATATCGCTGTAGCAAGTCTTTAAAGATACGGAACTTAAATTGAACTCCGTTGTCTGAGACTATAACTTCTGGTATCCCGAAACAATGGCATAAATCTTCTTCTAAGAACTTCAAAATGGCATCGGCTGTGAACTTCTTAACAGGCTTTAAAGAAGGGAATTTAGAAAAGTGATCCAGTACTATAAATATTCCTACATTACCGGATTTAGACCTGGGATACGGACCCAAAAAATCTACATACAACCTTTGGAAAAAACGCTTACTTTCACCCGTTTTGCCCAAAGGTAGACGGAGTACATAATTAGGATGTTTAGTGCTTTTGCACACTTCGCATCGATTGACGTATTCCTTTACATCTGTCACCATATTTGGCCAATAATAATGACGCTTAAGTTTTTCAAGCGATTTATTTATTCCACAGTGGGATGACAATGGGTCATCGTGAACTCTTTTCAAAACTTCAGGGATCAACTCTTTTGGGAGCCATAATTTCCATACCAAGTCATCTGCTATTCGCTCTCCTGAAGCATGTTCGCTTCGTCGATAAATAAAATTATCCACTTTTTTTATGTCAGGTGTTCAAGCTTTCTGCTGCTCCAGCTTCGACCTCAAATCCTGATAACTTGGTGAATTGAAATGCGGATGCTGCAAATCTATAACACAACCCAAATCTATTGCAGAAAAATCTTCTGTGAAGGTACGCGATAATGCATCTGGGACTACATTCTGACTACCCTTCCTATGTTGTATGGTAAATTAATACCCTTGCAATTTCAAGGCCCATCGCGCTGATCGACTGCTAAGATCTGACTGTGACATTAACCATTTAAGGGACGCGTGATCAGTTATAATTGTAAACTGCTGCCCTTCTACGTATGCACGAAACTTCTTAAGACTTAAGATAGCTGCCAAGCATTCTTTCTCTGTTACTGAGTATTTACGCTGACACTGATTCAATTTCCGAGACATATAGGATATTGGCACCTCATTTCCTTCGTTGTCTTTCTGCATGAGCACTCCACCTACTCCCGAGTGACTTGCATCACAATGAATATAAAATGGAGACTTAAAATCGGGCGTGTGCAAAAGAGGCGCTGTACACACGGCTGTTTTGAGCTTCTGAAATGCACATTCGGCTGCGTCAGTCCATATAAATTGTCTGGATTTCTTTAGGGCATCCGTAAGGACTATTGCTATTGCTGCATAATCTATATATATAAAACAGTTTGTCCTGACTGACTGACTGACTGATTGGTGATCAACGCATAGCCCAAACGGTAAAGGCTAGGAAGCTGAAATTTGGACTCAAGTATCCCTTCATAGTCTAGGTGCCCACTAAGAAGGGATTTTGGAAAACTCCAGCTCCAAAGGGGGGAAAACAGGCTCCAACGTTTGTATGAAAAATCTAAAGTTTTCATCTGATTAACTTCAAACTCAGTTTGTATACTATAGAACAATTCCAAGAAAAACAGTATACTTCGTTTTTTGATATTTTTTTGGGGCCCAAAATATGGGAGATTTCCTGTAAGAAAAATGTTGGGGCAGCCCACAGCCCACACAGTAAAAGCTGGGATGCTGAAATTTGGGCTCAAGTATGCTATCATGGTGTAGAGGCGCACTAAGAAGGGATTTTGGAAAATTCGAGCTCCAAAGGGGGGAAAACAAGCTCCAAAGTTTGTTTGAAAAATCCGCATTTTTTAGCCGATCGACATAAAACTTGGTTTCTGAAATCAATAAAAGAATACAAATAAAACTGCATACTCGGTGTTCTAAATTTTTTGTTGGAGCTTGAATTATTGGGGTTTTAATATTTATTCACTATTTCAAATGAAAAGATTGTGTTATAAATTTAGTCCGATCAATTTAAAATTTGGATAATGTAATCTACGTAACTAAATCTACAACTTTGCATTCAAGGATTTTCAAAATATGCATTTTACAAAAGCAGGCAGATCAAACAATACAAAATGTCAAACAGTTGGGGACAAATAAATATACATACACACACACACACACATACAAACAGCTGTTCGTGTAGTTGCGTGCAAACGATTGAAATAGCCAAAGCAAAATGTGAGACACTAATGTGTGAATGTCCAAAGATACATATGTATGTGCACATCTATGTACATATGTATCTACATATGTATGTATGTACATTCGTCTTGCACTGACAGAGCAAGAAATGTTAATTAATTGAAAATTATATAATATAACATTTTTAAAAGTAATTTTTTCTTTGTTTAGTGCATTTGGCATTAGTGTGTTCATTAATAACTTTATGCAGCAACAACAAATATCAAATAGTTGGGGACATCACATACACACACTCACACACAACAAGCAACAGTTCGTGTCTAAGTGTGCGGTTCTCTACGTACGGTTGAAAAAGTAAAGAGAAACATATGTACATATGTATGTATGCCTGTGTATGAATATAGCATGTATTTACATTCGTATTAATGTATACATTGGGCAATCGAACACAGTTGTTTGATTGTAAAAAAAAAATAATGCTCTAAAAACAACAACAACTGCAAGTCATTAGCTCGCTCTTCTTCTTTCGTTTTGACCATTTAATGTTAATTGCAAAGGCAAAATGCCAAAATGTTACAGTTACCGTCGCTAGGCAACGACTGCGTAAGCGATAGTAAAGCAGAAACCTAATAACGGAGCTACGCATATTCTGATTCGCATTGCGGGCAGATGTATGTATGTATGTATATCATTTGTTCTTATTGATGTCAATAAATAATTCAATTTTATT